GGACCTTCACGTACAGGATCAGCGGCATGAGGGAGCTGAACCTGAACTACCGGGGAAGGCTGAAACACCTGGAACTGTACTCACTGGAGAGAAGAAGAGAAAGGTATATCATACTGAGGGGAGGGGAGTTCACCCTTGCAACATTCAAGAGACGACTGGACAAGTGGTTGAGAAAGATCCCGGATTGTGTAGTAATGGGAAACCACCCTCAGCAAGTGACAAGCAACAGCATCTAGCATCAGGTGGACCAAAGGAGGGCAAATAGACGGAACACGGCCAACGTTACATCCGACGACGACTCGGAGACGGAGGACGACGAAGACGGCGCATCAGCGTGACCGTGGACTACGATCGACGTCCTAAACTCATCATAAGGTCATAAGTTCAATCGTCAGTTATGGAAAGATCGGGTTCCAAAGGCCGGATCCCTTGTGAATCAAGTCACGAAAAGTTCAAGAATCGGCAACAGGCCATGGGCCTATTTCTTCAATGCCAACGCTTCTATTCTATTCTATAAGTACAACTTCATGACGTCGATAGCTTGAGCTTGGTTTCGAGCTCTTGCGTACGTACATGTTATATATTATACTCAGTATCGCTAGTCCGTAAACCGCTAGTACGAGTCTACGGACTCGCTAGTATCGAGTCCGTAAAAACGCTAAAACTCTTAAAAATTAAAATGAAGTCCGCAGCTTAAAAATTTTTACTTAAACAACATGTTACCTTGCATTATCAATGATGATGCTGAATATTGAAAAAATGTTGAATATTCGTTATATGGGTCTTTGTGTACCATATAACGAAAGCGTTGACCATATGAGAACAAAGAGCCTCACAATTTTCACCCCCTCACCGCCCTTCAAAAACCCCTACTGCGGTTTCACAGCTTCCCCTTCTGTCAGGTTATGCAACGCTATTCGGAAGTTAAGACCAGTTTGTCTCGTACGATTTCCGCTCAAGGTGCGCACAAATGCTTACAAGTGCTCACAGGTGCTCACACGTGCTTACATTTGCTTACAAGTGCTCACAGGTGCTCACACGTGCTTACATCTGCTTACAAGTGCTCACATGTGCTTACAAGTGCTCACAGGTGCTCACACGTGATTACATCTGCTTACAAGTGCTTATACATGTGCTCACATGTGCTTACATCTGCTTACAAGTGCTCACATGTGCTCACATGTGCTTGCAAGTGCTCCCATGTGCTTACAAGTGCTTAAAGTGCTTACTGATGAAAAAACACGTCATTTTTTATGAAACCCTGCAATGTGATTGCAATGAATTGCGTCTTTTTAAAGCAATAAATGTCTGTCATAATTCACGAGTATCAGTTCAGCTGTTTCTAGAATCGTATTAGTATTAATTCCTTTTTTAAATTCAACTCGAAAGTTCTCCCAAACCTATAAATTTATATCATAAGATGCCCAAGGAGGATGCGCACCGCAGTGAAAGCGGCGGCAAAAAGTCTTATAATTTCACTAGTATCAGTTTAACCGTTTCAAAACCCTGAGTTAGACTTTTTAGATAAAAAAATTGGCTAATTTGATTATAAAAATACAATAAATTTTATTAGAAAAAAACATTCAGGAATGAATCTCTTAGCCACCAAACCACTGTCAATCGCCCTCTCGAATATTGAAGTCGAATAATAAAACTGAATTCGAATATTGAAATCAAATTCGGATTCTAAATTAGAATTCGAATAATAAATTCGAATTTGAATATTAAATTCGAATTTGAATATTAAATTCGAATTCGAATATTAAATTCGAGTTCGAAAATTAAATTCGAATTTAAATATTAAATGCGAATTCGAATATTAAATTCGTTTTCGAATAATAATGACAGTAGTACAAATCAAAGGTATTGTGGATACTATTTGAAATCTAAGCTTAAAATTACTCTGAAAATAATTTCAGCATCCGCCTGACAACAGGTTTCATCTCGAGCTCAGCTAACTGGAAACGAGACGCAAAAAAAAACCTCCAGACCTCAGCATTCATCTGCACGCGGAAATTATTGTTAGAGCAATTGCAAGCTAAGATTTCAAATAGTATTCACAATACTCTTGATTTGTACTATTGTTATTATTATTAGAATTTATTATTCGATTCCTTTTCGCCCAGCTATCGCCAGTTTCAATTTGTCAGAGCACCAGACTCATTGCGACTGGCGATGAGTCAATAGGCAAGGTTTTTTTTTTGTCTCAATATTTGTTAGAAGACGGCTCAGTCGTGCTTGAATTTCATGGCTGCACTATACTATTTCAAGTTCAACCGTGCTTGAATTCTATCCTCTCTATTGAATGTAGTGTCTTATTAGAGGCGCGTACATTATACCGATTCGACACTTCAGCGAACTCGCGTGCGAACTCGCCTGCGAGCTCGAACTTCATTTTCAACTCTGGCACTCATAACTCCTTCAATTATGAACGGATTTTATTCAAATTTGAAATATAAGTAGATAATATCAGTACGCTGCGGTGATTTATGCGTGCCAGAGTTGAAAATTAAGTTAGGTTTTCCATTCGAGCTCGCAGGCGAGTTCGCACGCGAGTTCGCTGAAGTGTCGGACCGGTGTACATTATTGCTCAATGAGTGTTCATGATCAAATTAGTTCTTGAAAATATCTTGGTTAATTTACCATACATTGGAGCAATCGATACCGTGTTGTTTTATTGAACCAAATAGTGTCTCGGACAAATTTACGGCCGGAGTATCCTTTGGTGGGCGTGGCATTTCATGGCGTCATTTGGTGGGCGTGGCGTCATTGGTGGGCGTGGCATTTAAGATCATCCGATCTTTTAACGTGACGCAATTGGCTACTTGGGAATTTAAGACGAGTTCGTCACAATCCCTATATATCCAAACTCCTATGTGAACTATAAGGATTTATTACTATGAAATTACATGTCAGAGATCTAGTTTTTTTTTCATTCAATTCTAGTTTTTTCCGAGGTATAATCTAGGTTTTCAGAAAATAGTCCCTGGCAACACGACAGTTAGTACCCCGCACGGTCAGAATGTTCGCGAAATTTGCGTTCTGCTGGATTCAGTGGCTGCGTGTTAGTACTCAGTATGAGGCTGGCATCCGTAGGGTATGATTGTTAAGAATATAGCTCCTAGTTGAACACTTTGAACGAAGCGAAAATGTGCAGGGATGAATCCCAGCATTAGCGTTAGTTTTAATATTGTTTAGTATCCGCGTTCACAGAAATCCGAGTTACTATGGCCCTTCATCGAGGGCGCCCTTTAATCATTAAAGGGACAAAAAAATCAATGTGACATGTAGGAAAGCAAAATATCAGAACTGTACTGCGAGCGCTGTTCCAGACACTCGCAGATGGGTCAATAAAAGTCGGACTTCGTAATACTACTCCTAATATTGAGTCCATCTTCACATGACGTGCTCTGCAAAACAGAGTTGCACCAGAAGGCAGAACTTGTATAAGTCTTAATGGTAATTCCTCTGAACGTTAGTCGGCAACGACTAAGCAATTTAAGGAAACTTGAAGAATTTATTCGGATTTTTACCTAGGCGCAAATCAATGATATTAGGCACAAATCAAGGGTAGTCTTAGAACTACCTAGGTATGACGCAACATTAAAGAACTATTTTTGGCAAGGAAACGTTTCGGTCAGAGTTATACAGCACACCACAAACCATGGTTGAACTAATAAAAGGTGCCCACAGTGACGTCACTCTAGAGATGCACAGAGCGGCGAAAAAAAACCTGATTGTGCAAATGAATCTAATTGCCTGTGAATTTTGAATTAATTGCTATTTTAAATTTCCTTTTATGTAACCTATATATATTACCCTGACCGGAACGTTTCCTTGCCAAAAATATTTCTTTAATGTTGCGTCATACCTAGAAAGTTCTAAGACTACTTTTGCCTAGGTATAAATCCGAATAAATTGTTCAAGTTTCCTTAAATTGCTCAATCGAGGCCGACTAACGTTCAGAGGAATTACCATTAAAATCTGCCTTCTGATGCAACTCTATTTTGCAAAGAACGTCATGTGAAGATGAAGTGTCTGCGAGTGTCTGGGACAGCGCTCGCAGAACAGAAATGCCGTTACTTATTGCGGCTCTTTTTTTTTACAGCTGTATTTATAATAACTGTGAATGATCCATCGTAACTAGTTCATTCTTCTAACTTTGTTTCTATACTAGTGAATTGAAAATTTTTGAACTTATACTCACGGTGTTTCATCAGCTGCGATCAATTGATAATTATATTTTTTTAACTGAACGTCTCGAAGAGTTCAACACAAAATGATTATTTCATTGGTGAGTTGAATTTATTCAATGTGTTGTAAATTTCTCATGTTCTTCAGTTGTATATTTTGAGTTCTTTTTCTCCATACATATTATCTATGGCCTCTTCAATTTTCTCCTAAAATTACAGCTAATCCGCTTGCTGGCAATAGATTTTGGGGTGGATGCGGGGCTGTTGCTATTCTGCTTGGATTTCAAATTGTATCAATACCCTTGATTTGTGCTACTGTCGTTTCAGCAAAAGATGAAGCAATTACTGTAAGATGCAGAGGAGAATTAATTCTACGACAAATTCAAATTAAAAGCAGCACTCGTATCGAAAATTCTCCCCTATAACTACGGACGAGTCGTTCTCCAAAGAACCATTTTTTCAGTTCTTAAGTCTAACTAGTAATTGAGAAAAATACGTTAAGAATAAATAAAATTAAAGATGGGCTTAGAAAATTTCAGAATTGCAGAATAACAGAGATAAATAAAGATTCAAATAAACAAACAATTATTATACGGTATGCCGATCACAACAACAAAAGAGTGTGAACTTTTAATTCTTTTTGATGATAGTAAAAGTTTTTAGGCAGCGTGTATGGCCGATTTAAAGGTCGTGACCGTAGGTCACCACGCACCCCAATTCCAATTCGAACTGGTGGGCGTGGCATTATGACCATCAGCTTAAGGTGATACTATTGGCTATTCGGAAGCTAAGGCCTGTTCGTCACATATGATTTCCGCTCAAGGTGCGCACAAATGCTTACAAGTGCTCACATGTACTTACAAGTGCTTACAAGTGCTCACATGTGCTTACAAGTGCTCACGTGTACTTACAAGTGCTTATAAGTGCTCACATGTGCTTACGAGTGCTCACATTTGCTTACATCTGCTTACAAGTGCTAACAATTAAGTGCTTACTGTTAAAAAAGGCACGTCGTTTTTTTATAAAACCCTGCAATGTGATTGCAATGAATTGAGTCACTTTAAAGCGATAAATGTCTGTCATAACTCACGAGTATTAGTTCAGCTGTTTCTAAAATCGAATTAGTATTAATACCTTTTTAAATTCAACTCGAAAGTTCTCCCAAACCTATAAATGTATATCATAAGATGCCCAAGGAGGATGCGCACCGCAGTGAAAGCGGCGGCAAAAAGTCTGTTATAATTTCACTAGTATCAGTTTAACCGTTTCAAAACCCTGAGTTAGACTTTTTAGATCAAAAAATTTGCTAATTTGATTATAAAAATACAATAAATTTTATTAGAAAAAAACATTCAGGAATGAATCTCTTAGCCACCAAACCACTGTCAATCGCCCTCTCGAATATTGAAGTCGAATATTAAATTTGAATTCGAATATTGAACTCAAATTCGGATACTAAATTAGAATTCGAACAATAAATACGAATTTGAATATTAAATTTATTTTCGAATAATAATGAATAATTTGTTTTCGAATAATGGAGTGTCATGTTAGAGGCGCATACATTATTGCTCAATGAGTGTTCATGATCAAATTAGTTCTTGAAAATATCTTGGTTAATTTCCCATACATTGGAGCAATCGATACCGTGTTGTTTTATTAAACCAAATTAATGGTAAAATAAATTTCAGACTTAATGAGGTTACAAACTTCAGAACGATTTTCACTTTCAATTTATTTAAAGGAAACCCTAAGATTCATTCATTCAAACCTTCATCAAATCGCTTTGATTCAGGTATATTATTTTGAGTTCTTTTTCTCCATACATATTATCTATGGCCTCTTCAATTTTCTCCTAAAATTACAGCTAATCCGCTTGCTGGCAATAGATTTTGGGTGGATGCGGGGCTGTTGCTATTCTGCTTGGATTTCAAATTGTATCAATACCCTTGATTTGTGCTACTGTCGTTTCAGCAAATGATGAAGCAATTACTGTAAGATGCAGAGGAGAATTAATTCTACGACAAATTCAAATTAAAGCAGCGAGCTCAAAAATTTAAAGCTTGAAAACTCTGAAAATGTCTGTGTATATAATGTGTATGTGTATATGTGTAATGTGTAAATGTATGCGTATAATGTATGTGTATCTAAGGAGAAGAACATATATATGTTCAGAACATAATTCTCGACATGAAATGGTTATGTAGATACACACATGTAATACACGCAATATGTATTCAATAGATCAATAGATATACAGTATACCGCGACAGTGTTTCCAGCGCATCCGGCATACCACGCATCTTTAATACATTATATGCCTGTCAATTTTACCCATACGATCTCAGTTGAGTACAATATTTTGTCCATAAATTGAGTATATGACATATACGGTCGTTGGTCAACTGGACAGACAAAAAAAAGTGTAACTAACATCTGAGGCTTGGAGGCGATGCCATCTTTTTCTTGGTTCTGTCAAAGATTTTTATGTAGTCTGTACCGCCCGATATGTGCTACTTATGCATTTCCATTTATGCAAAAATAACTCATTTTCCGAACATTCCACATGTTGTGTCCACCCCTTTTTTCCCGTTCTTAATATTAAGGTTGACCCACTTTCGATTTTCCAGGGCCTGAATTCGCGGCTACTGTCTACAACCTGGGCGTCATCAACGCGCCTCTTGGGGTAAGTTTAACTTTACTGCATGGCTACAACCTGGGCGTCATCAACGCGCCTCTTGAGGTGAGTATAAACCGACAGCGTTTTCATGTCATATGAGTCATGAAGAAACTTTGATTTACGTATCCAGTTAGCTGAATTGAGATGTTTTTTATCAGTCTGCTTATATCGCAAGTTCACAAGGAATTTAAAAGCAAAGAAAACACCAAGCAAATTCAACATATCAATATTGAAAGCGTTTCGGAGTCCAGCTCCATCATCAGTTCGGAAAACTAAAAATGAACAAAATTATATCCGTGCCTCCGTGCGCCTCCATGCTGAGCCTCCGTGCGCCTCCATGCTGAACAGTGCGACGTGGCTGTAACTGAGAGGTGATTTCAGGATACTCGGTTCCATTTCTGGCTGCTCGGATTTGAGAATATTGGAGTCTCTACATATATTCACACGAAAACCTTGGCTCAATAATGCGTTTAGTTCATATAATCTGGAAATAGTGAATCGCTAGGCTTTTATATTCTTTTTGTGAACCCTAGGATTAAGTTGTTCCAATCGAGTCCTTTTTTTTCGATGGAATGTTAGGTCTTGTTTAGGTTTTATGTCTGTCTTAGAATTTTGATATAATAATATGATTTTATTCCTTTTTAGTTTTTCGAAGTGATGATGGAGCTGGACTCCGAAACGTTTTCAATATCGCTATGTTGAATTTGCTTGGTGTTTTCTTTGCTTTTGAATTCCTTGATGTTTTTTAACTCTGAATTATCTAAAATTAAATCTGTGATGGAAGAACAAGTGGTTTAACGATGTAAATCGAAAATATACCATTAGCGAAAAAATGTGAAGTTGTTTCGATGTCTGTTAATTGAAAGTACCCGCAACGAGCTAGGAAGTGACCATCCTTGCAATGTATCGCCATGCGACCCAACCCTCGCTAGAAGCCTTCTTATTGGCTGCTCGAAACGCACCTCTCGGCGCAGCCAATCATAGAACGAGAAGTTTGCCGCCGGCATGGATGGTTGCACTATTCGTGGGTGAAACATTTATAGTTCAAGCATGGTCGGCATGCACATTGCTTCCCTGATTCTTTTATTTTTCAATGCTAAAAAATGAAGTAGAAATTCACAAACAATAGCGCCAGCATAAAAATAGTCTAGCGACGTAATGGGGACTGGTAATAGAACGCTCGTTCACAAAAAATATCTCGGCTGTTAACTGTAACTTGCATTTTTAGCGCATTTTCTCATTTATGAAAAAAAATTCACTATTGTGCTTGCCATGTCCGTCTGTCCGTCCGTCCGTCCGTCCGTCTGTCCGTCTGTACGTGACTTCACGTTTTCGTCGACGAGAAAATGCGCTCTCTGTCACTCACTGCAATGAGTACTGAGTTATATTTTTTAATGTCGAGCAACGAGACATGCAAGTCGAGTCCAAACGGCTATAGTGTCTGAAAAAAAAACAAGCTACAGCTCTCTCATTTGGTGCAAAGAAGCCATAAGAAAACGAAATGTATGGTACATGCCTTTTATCGGAGCTGTCTCATGCAAGGAAAACGCGTAATTAAAATTACATTTATTGAGAAGACTTGAGTCTTAGACAGAGCTCTAGAAAGGGATTGTACGGTTGAGGATTGCTTTCTGAACTGTTCTCTATAGCTCAAAATTATTGTATTTTTTTGTAAGACATTTTCTTGTTATGAACCTCATAATCACTGCCACTAGTACTATTTTTGAATAGTTTCTTTTCGTCCCTCACCGTTCTCTATAAAAACTACCTATGAGGAACACAAAGCGTCTGCATCTGAGCAATGGTTTGATAAAACTGTTAAAACAAGTTTGATAAACTGTTCCTGAATGATGTCAAAACTACATTCGCTATTCAAATGAGTGATGTAATTTATAATTTTGAACTGATCGAGCAATAAATTATTTAATGATCGTAATCTACATGAACGACTTTTTCTGAACACGTCAGCTGATGGGCGACTGGCTGAACACGACCAACTACAACAGAACGAAGGAGTACCTCTCGCAGAGCTCCAAGACGAGGATTATCTCGTGGATCGTCTCGATCTACTATATCGGCGACAAGATTGGTGGCGCCTTCGCTGGCTTCTTCTCTGAGAGGTAAACCTGCATCAGTTACTACATATCAGTTAATTTAATGTATTGTTTGTAGATTAAATGGCTTTTGCAGGGCAAGCTCATTGTTTTTGCATCGACGGTTATTGCAGTAAATTAGTCACTGAATGATGGAATGAAATTTGAATCTCAAACATTTTCAACTAACTTATGGTACTGGCGGTGTCACCCATTACCCAAGGCTGAAAATTTCCCATCTGAAAACAATCGTAGACTGTTCAACAAACTAGAATTTTCCCGTTTGACAAAAGAACGGAGAATATTTCCTCGTTCGTATGTTGGTAACACTTGAAGAATTCATTGAAGTTGAGAACGATCTTTGAGCTAGCAAACTTGTTGAATTAAATTAAAATAATCGAAGAAATTCAACTAAAATTCACAGGTTTTTCATTTAGGTGCTACTTTGGAATCAAATAAACATTGAAGTCTGTAGGGGAGCTCTGACGTTGGAACAACTTGTGTGCAGGTTCGGCCATAAGGCCGTGCTGCTCATCAACAACGTGTTCGCCTTCTTAGCCGCTATTTTGTTCGGCTTCTGCAAGATGGCGGGATCCTGGGAAATGATTGTCGCAGGTCGCTTATTCATCGGCATCAACAATGGACTCAACGCTCGTATGCTTCCAGAGAACTGAATTGCAGCGCTAAGTATTTCGAGCATATGCGAGAGAGCTCGGAAATTAACTATTTAACTCCACTTAATATAGAATAATTTTGCAAGTGCATAAATTGAAATTGTGGTATTCCGTCTCTATTAAAAAGTTAATTTTTGCAAATATAATTTCCCTGATGTTAAATTGAAAATTAGCCAAATTTATATTTATTTCAAAACTCATTTGTGTTCCTAAAAGGCCTGGTGCCCAAGTACCTGTCCACGATAGCCCCTCCGAACCTTCGCGGCGCCATTGGTTACGTCTACCAGCCGGCAGTCGCCATCTCAATCCTGGTGAGTCCGTATCTATATTCATTCACGATATCCTTTCGTTCAGCATTATACATGAAGCTTCATTTGGTGTAATTAGTTTATACATATTATTCATTACTTGTGATTTTCTGGGGCCACACTTCACAGCGTTAATGATACTTCTCTTTATTCCGAAGATTTTTAATGACCTTTCATCCCAGTTCTTGCAAATCATGGGTTCGGAGAGCCTGTACGCGTGGCACGTAATGCTGGCCCTCACGACCGTCCCCGCCGTCTTCCAGCTCTGCGTGCTGCTCATCTGCCCTGAGCAGAACCCTGAGAATCTTCTGCTACCCATTTCGGAACCTTCTCATCAACAAGGGCAAGCAGGTCTACTCCCAGAGAGGTACGGCGACATCAGCTGACTTGTAATCGTCACGATATCAGTTTCTAGTTCCGAAAAATGGACTTCCTAAGAGATTTTGGATTTCCCTCTAATTAGTTAATTGCCCCTGTATTAATTTCGAATTTTCCCTTTGAAATATAGATAGTTAAACATTTACACTATTTCGCTAAAATTCAAGAATTTCTATCAAACTTTTTATTATAAAATCTGTATTCTCGAACAAACCCCTAGACTTCCATAATTTCCTTGATATAGCATTTCATTTCACTTTCGAATGTGATCTTTAAGCTGTCAAATTTTATTTATGCTCTATACCATAGTGAAATTAAATGTATCATTTCTCGTAAAATAACCTTCCCATTACTATAATTATATACTGCGTCATTTTTCGTATGTGATTACGGTCACGATAAGGCTGCTATGAAATTTGTTTTAAAACTTTTGTACAATATCATGATCTCACTGTCTCACTGTAGAACGTAAAAAAACATCAGGAGGTCCACATCCATTCAACGAATATTTGTTGTAAAGGAAGACTCATATTTAGAACAAAAAATAAATATATATTTTAAAGTAGAGCTTCACGCTCTTGCACTCTTGAAAATGTAATAATAATTGCGATTCATGACAGCTGTGCAGTGGCTGTGCAACTCAACGAACGTGCACGACGAGATGAAAGAGATGCAGAGGGTGGCTGAGGCCCAATTTCAGAGGCCTTTACAAATTTAACACTTAATTTAAGCTTTAGAATAGAATAGAAGTGTCGGCGCTGAAGATACAAGAAACATCTTAGGATAGAAATGCTCAAAATTGGGAATATATGTAGAACCGTTGACGATTGGATAAGCCGACGGTTGAAAACGAGCGGGAATACGACTCTCCGCGCGTGTAGCGTTCGGGACTATAAAAGCAGTGAGGTAGGAGAAAAAGCAGCTTCCCAGCCTCCAACACGAGACTCCTTCACAGATTATTGACACACGTCCGTACGCAGCGCTGTCCGCCACGCTCTGAGCTGCTTTTTCTCCTACCTCACTGCTTTTATAGTCCCGAACGCTACACGCGCGGAGAGTCGTATTCCCGCTCGTTTTCAACCGTCGGCTTATCCAATCGTCAACGGTTCTACATATATTCCCAATTTTGAGCATTTCTATCCTAATCATGTCCTCCCATGGCTTGAAGATACAAGAAACTTTTGTATTCGGACTCTATCCAGCGTATTTGGAAAAATATCATCGGTCATACCCAAAGTAAAAGAAAATTGTTATCTGGCTATTTCCTCATTGAAATGTACTGCTCTGCATGGAATAAGTGCAAATATTTATATAGATATTAGATCTCAATGTTTTTTCTATAGTCTTGCTGTTTTAGTATTTCGTAGACGTTTTCCTGTTGAGCACCCAAGTAATGGGGAAGTATCATGTAGTCATTACTTTTAAGGCGTGAAGAATTCCTAAAACCCGAGATTCTTTGTTAGAGGCAAGAGATTATTTTTTTGTAAAGTTTCAACAAATTTAATTTTAAACATAGAATTGACAGGAGCCCAGAGCAGGCGAAAAGTGATTGATGTACGTAGCTATGGACATTTGAAGACGCGATTTGAAGTTCATTGTCACGAAAACGCGTTCTATGCTATATATTTTGAGGATGTAAGCGGTCTTGAACTCGTGGTCATCATGGTTGAACTAGTATAAGGTTGACCCATTAGAAGCTAATTTTTGCGGATGTAGTTTGTTGTTCGCCTGTGACGTGACTGACTTCTGTGACGTCACGAGCATTAACCAATCACCGAAATGCGATCAAACCAGTCAACCAAGCCGTCATGAGAATGACCGTATTGTTTACGTTTCTCGATCTGAGTGACGTAACAAGAAAGCTGAACTGAAAACGAAAATCCTCGTGGGTCAACCTTATATACAGTAGTTCAACCATACGTGGTCATCGTTGCTTTTAGCGGGCTTTAAGTGTTTTAGTCGAATGTTGAATTTCTGCAACTAAGCTGAGGTTTTTTCAAAAAATTTTATCACAATAAAAATACTGGTTCATGTCACTCATGTGCTTCTGGAGATATGACTGTTGGACTAATAAAAACCAGATTCGGTAATAGGTTGATTTGCTTCTAACCGTAAATTAAGCCAGTAACTAGAGTTGATATAATTTGAAAGGTTGTGATTCTTATTGCTCGCGTCATGTACACTGTACAGTGATTGAGGAATAAAAGAATAACCAGATTTTCCGCCGTATTAATTTTATCGTTTGTTCGCCATCAGTTTGTGGCTAAAACACTTAGACGGAGAGAGAGCCTGTTACTACTTACTAAGTTACTACCGGTTACCAGTATACTCGTACCTGCCTCTGGAGAAAGTCACTTGCAGAGTTGCCGGTTGCGATCGCGGCAAAAGCAAGTTTGCGATTAATGCTCTCGAATAATTGAGGTACTCTTTGACAGTATTTTCACGTACGTTTCTTAATCAAATATATTGATAATAAAAATTAATTTAGGACACTGCTGAGTTGCTTCAAAGTCCGGAGTTTGCTGGTTCTGGTACTGGTTGTACCTACCGTTGTACTGGAGCGCAGCCGTGGCCTCACTGGCCTGGGTAACAAAATTGACTGCCTATTCTACTGTGCCTACATTAGAGCCAAGATACTGAAGATAGAATATGGTAGTGTTCTGTATGGAACAGCTTCATCTGCCCAGTTGAAAAAGCTGGAACTTGGAACTTCGAAGTCTTGCAGAATGCTTATCTTCTTTTTGTCCTTGGAGCTCGATGGACCATAGGCATAGGCATAGTGCCTACTGCGGACTGCCTAGTGGCAAAGCAGAGACTTTTTTAGACTCTCCCTCAAGTTCATTTTTGAGTCTTATAAGTAGACCAGTAAAGTATCATGTATACCAGACTTATCATACATAAGAAATTGGTTTAAATCTTGAGTAAATGAAATTAAAATTGAACTGATTCTAAAAAATCTTGGCCGCCCGCCGGGGCCCGGGATAAACAACACCCATGGTCATAGTGTCTCTCCAGCCTCCAGGTAGAACTTAGAAGCTCAAATTCCTCCATTAAGTTTGAGACGCTGCCATCTGGTTGCCACTTGCCAGTATCATGCGGCAGTATGTATGTACGCCTTTAATATTGTCCAATTGGAGATAGAACCTCTGAAATTGTTCTTAGTGATACACCCTCAGCTCTACAGTACGACATAGTGGCAAACCAGAGCTTTTTTAGAATCAGTTCATTCTTAATTTCCTCATTTACTAAAGATTTAAGGCAATTACTTATGTTTGATAATGCTGGTATCCAAGATACTTTACTTGTCTACTTATAGGACTCAAAAATGAACTTGAGGGAGAGTCAAAAAAACTCTGCTTTTCCACTATGCAGTACGAGTACAGTGAGTATGGCCCGGCTGGCCCGCAGGGCGCAGATATTGTAATAGGGTAAACGCGGTATATTCCGATTTCCAACATCGTGGGTAATTCCGACACATCTCTAATTTTTCCTTTATATTAAGCTTTGTTTTAGTTCATGCATTCGTTGATGGTTGAAAATGTAAATAGTGACGTCATACATTTGCGTGTCAAACTACTGCCAAAACACTAGGTCTGCTGGTCTGGGCCATCTAGGGGGAAAATGTTGAGATCCAAATTCCAAAGAGAGACGGTGCATGCCACCCAATGAGATCATTGAAAAATGTGTCAAAGTTGACTGTTGACAGTTGACCTTGCTCTACCAAATAGTGATAAACTGTTTGTGTAGAAAGAATATTATGGTTTGAGACTTTAAATACATCTGTGAAATATATTAGGAATCCTTTAAGTATACTTGTATAGTTGTATTTGCTGATTTCAAGTGGTACCTAAATAAATTAATAGATGATTAAGCTGAGAATTCTTAGTTAAAAGCTTAATAACTGTTAATTAAAAGCCTAATTAAGTAGTGCTCAATATTCAATAGTGTTCTAATTCAAAGCAGTGTCATATTCCAATACAGCTCACAGTCTCACACAGCGATCGAAATTCGAACACGTGGATGTTGGAATTACGTATTAGTACAATTTGAAGCGCGGTCAGAATACGTCTCGCCAAGTGCCTAATATAGTCACACACAGTGTCGGAATATAGGGATTTGGTAGGTTTGCATTCTAAAGGCTTTTAAATATGGCAACATTTTGTGACGTTTCATTGTTGCTGGTGCGTCATGCAGTGTTTTGAGAGTCACATAAAGTAAACAGAACTTGAGTAATGCATACATTTTTTTTATAGTTTTTCATTTCTCGATGCGTCCTTAATGTGTCAGAATATACCGTGTTTACCGTACTTTAATGAGCTGGATCTTCCATCTTGTCGTAGGCATCCCACTCCTGTGTTTTATCCGATTCCTCCTTGGTGTAGTTTGTCTTCTCTAATTTGTCTTGACTTCCAGTCAGATTCTGAGGTTGCCACTCCTCTTTTTGCAGCCCATCTGGTCCATCTGGATGAGAAATAACCTAGTCACAGGGCAGTTTATTGTGATGGCTTGCATCTGATCAATGGTCCGTTTGTTGCTTGTGGTCTTTATGTTTCATCTGTGAGACTGAGAGGCAAGCAGTTGCATGGCGGTTGAATCCACATCACAGTGTCTTGTCTGCTAAACTAATTGCAATTTTGCAGGCCTTGCAACTTATTGAAGCGGACTCCTTCCTTCAATGGGTAATATGTTCTGACTCTCTTGTAGCTTTACAACTTTTGCTATCTCCTACCAATACTTGCTCTGATCTGGTCTATGGCATACGCAAGCTACTCATATGGCTAAATGACTTGAAGATCGTGCATCTACAGTGGGTCAAGGCTCACATTGACATTATTGGTAATGAGTGTGCTGATGCAGTTGCCAAACTGGGACATCGCCTTGACCACTCTGCCTTGTTTCCTTTACCTTGCTCAGATGCTCTTGCTGGTCTTCGGTCACACTTTCTTTGTTTTTGGGAATTGGATTGGGTTACTACAGTAGCTACTGATGGAAGGGGCCATCATGAAGCATCTAGCTTTCATTTGGTCTGGGATGTCTCCTGTCCCATGGGTTGCTTGCCGTTCTTGTCGTGCCACAGTGGTTTTAACCCATCTTCGTCTTGGCCATGTTGGGGCTTGTTCTTATCTCCATCGATTTGGCATGGCTGACACTCCCATCAGTCCCATGTGCCTGCACTGTGGGGTTGAAGAGTCAATTGAACACTCCCTCCTTTCATGTGCACTATACAATCATGAGAGATGTGATGATATCAAATATACATGCCCTGGGAGTCCCTTTCATATCTGTGCGTGTGCTCCTTGGTGGAGGAAATTATCCCAGAAGAGTTCAGCACCACATAGTGAGAGCAACCACCGCATATCTCATGCAAACTGGTCGATTATCTACCATGTAGCTGGTGAAATGCACTAGATTAAACACTGATTTGCCATAAACAAGAGAATTGTTGATAACCAGACAGCCGCATACCCTCATATCTTAATATCAATATACATAAACTAAACCATATTACATCCCACGATGTCTACCACACTGATTAAATAGGGTTTTTTTAAGTTAAGTCAGTTCTGTGATTTTTTCTATTTTTATTACTGTTATTCTATTGGCAATCTCTTTAATTTTGTCAGATTGGTCCGAAGTGGTCAGTAAAGGCACGTGAATAGGTTCTAGTATGAAAAGGTTTCGGCAAAATAGTACAAAGAGAGGGTTGTAATGAAACACATACATTTCACAATAAATTGAGAAAATTCAAGTTCACATCCTACATTAACAAAAATCTCTAGTACATGAAGAATGTAATTTGAACACATTCAAAATTGAGAACCTATCAGTTTTCATTACAAAAATCTCTCTATTTACCAGAACGTTGATAAATTGCAGTTCCGTTGAGCCGTATGACTGTTGTAAACGACCGTACTGCT